ATGTACCACCACACCCAGCTAATTTTGTATTTTTAGTAGAGACGGGGTTTCTCCATGTTGGTCAGGCTGGTCTCAAACTCCCGACCTCAGGTGATCTGCCCGCCTCGGCCTCCCAAAGTGCTGAGATTACAGATGTGAGCCATCACGCCCAGCCTTAATTTTTGTATTTTTAATAGAGATGGGGTTTCACCATGGTGGCCAGGCTGGTCTCGAACTCCTGACCTGAGGTAATCCGCCTACCACAGCCTCCCACAGTGCTGGGATTACAGGCACGGCTATTAGCCTGGCCAAGTTAAGATTCTTGATGCCAACCACTCACCCACTCCATGTTTTTCAGGATTATAAACACTAGTTATAAAGCTTCAACTGGCTGGGGGTGGTGGCTCACGCCTGTAATCTCAGCACTTTGGGAGGCTGAGGCAGGTGGATCACCTGAGGTCAGGAGTTCGAGACCAGCCTGACCAATATGGTGAAACCCCACCTCTACTAAAAATACCAAAATTAGCTGGGCGTGGTGGTGTGCACCTGTAACCCCAGCTATTTGGAGACAGGAGAATCGCTTGAACCTAGGAGGTGGAAGTTGCAGTGAGTCAACATCGTGCCATTGTAGTCAAGCCTGGGTGACAGAGCAAGACTTCATCTCAAAAATATATAAATAAATAAAGCTCCAACTGTTTACTCCGCCTGTTCTCTGGGCAGGGCACTGTGTTTAAGGAAGGTCTTGTCTAACCCTCCCAGTGCCTGTGAGGTGAGTCCTGTTATGGCCTCCACTCTGCCGATGAAGAAACAGGCTCAGAGGGGTAACAGCACTTCCCCAGGTGGCACGGCTGGTTTGGGGTGAAGCTGGAGTTACCCCGAGCACAGCCTGACTCCAGGAGTCAGCTCCACGGCCTCTTCCTCTGAGACACGGTTTTCTCATCGGCCAGTGGGGCTCTGCCTGCTTCCTGAGGCTGTTAAGAGGTTGGCAGGCCAGGTCGACAGAGGAAAGGGACCCGTCCTGTGCCTCAGAAGACACAGGCGAGGAGCAGGCATGCGGCCCCAGGGACCGTCTCTGAGGGAGGGTCCTGGGCCCCGGGCTGAGAAAGCAGGGGTGGAGGGCTCAGCGTGCAGACCCCAGGCTGGGAGGGACTCACCGAGCGTGGTGCTGGAGAAGGTGGAGCCATGGATGCCCGTGTGTCTGCCCAGCTCTGTCCTGGCCACGCCGGGGTGCAGGGCGTTGACAGTCACACCAGAGCCTGGAGAAGAAAGAGAAGACTGAGGGAGAGGTCCAGCCTCACCTGGAAGGCTGTGGCAGCCCACACCCAGCTGTGGGGCTTCTGGGCGCCAGGCTGCTTCCTACACTCAAACCCCGTCGTCCCTCTTGCTCTGAAATCTTAGTGAAGTGGTCTTATCTTGCAGGCAGCTCTGCCACATGGCTGCTGGGAGCTGAGCTGTCCCGGAGCACTTGATAAACCCAGAACGCTGAGCTCACCCCAGGAATCCAAATCGGTGGGTGACGGTGGGATCTGAGATACCGTAACTCTGACCAGCTCCCACTGGGGCTGGCACCGCTGGTCCACAGACGGTCTTTCAGAAGCAAAGGCCCAGCACAGATTCCTCAACCTCAGCACTATGGACGCTGTGGATCGGGAGGAGTGAGGGGCCGTCCTGTGTGCTGTAGGACATTGAGCAGCATCCGGGCCTTTCCCCTCCAGATGCCCAGAGCAATCTCTCCCCCACCCAGATGTGATCACTGTGTTTCCAGGCATTGACACCTGTGGGCCAGAACTGCCCCTGGTTGAGACTCACTGGCTGGAGCCAAAAGGCTGAGCTGCCTGCCCAGCAGCAGCAGGGAAGGACACCTGATCCAGGCAGACTAGACCACCTGGGATGAACAGACAATCAGCAGAAGAACAATCGATTAGTGATGTCTGCTTCAGGCACCAGAAGGGGGCAGGGTGGTCTGTGTGCTCTACTTTTGCGGATTCTGTTGTGGAGCCACAGCTTGGTCTCCCATCAGCCTAGGATCATGGAAGGGCTGCTCTAGGCTCAGAGTAAAGCGAGAGGGAGGCTGAGCCTAGCGCCCCGTACCTTGCAGCCGCCGGCTCAGCTCCTTGGTGAAGAGGACGATGGCCAGCTTGCTCTGGCAGTAGGCGGCTTTGGTGTCATACTTCCTCGTCTGCCAGTTCAAGTCATCAAAGTCTATGTGCCCAACCACGTGGGCCAAGGATGAGAGGTTGATGATCCGCGAAGGGGCTGAGGCTTTCAGCTTGTCCAGCAGCAAGTTCGTCAAGAGAAAGTGACCTGGATTAAGGATGACAAAAAGGTCACTTTTGGCTCACGTCTAAAATCCCAGCACTTTGAGAGGACGACGGGGGAGGATCGCTTGAGCCCACGGGGCAGCCCCTTCCCAGGCCTCACCCAGGTGGTTAACGCCAAACTGCATCTCAAAGCCGTCCTCGGTGGTCCAGTGGGGGCACCGCATCACGCCCGCGTTGTTGATTAGAATGTCCACTCGCTCCTCCTCTGGAAGGGAGGGGTGGGGAAGGAGACATCAGGGAGAGGACAGACCCCAGCCTGAGGCAGCAGTAGAAACGTTCCTGTGCTCCCGGAACCCGTGAACATGGCCTGTGCCGGAAACAGGGTCTGTGCTGAAGTGGCCACATCAGGAAGAGGTCATTAGGGTGAGCCCTAATCCAGTGACTGGTGTCCTTATAGGAAGGGAAAACAGAGACAGAGACACACGGGGAGAAGGCCACATGTGGACGGAAGTGGAGACCGGAGAGGCACAGCTCCAAGATGAGTGTGGGCGCCCCCGCTGGAAGTGGAAGAGGCTGGGAGGATTACCGCCCGTCTCACAGGATCACAGCCACAGGGACACCGTGATTCAGACTGCCGGCTTCCGGACCCGTGAGGGAATGCATGTCTGAGGGTGTAAAGCCACTGGGTTTGAGGTACCTCGTTACAGCAGGCCCAGGACACTCACACCCCCTCCTCCTAAGCCTTGGGACTCTTTCCTGCAGGAGTCCCGAGGCCAAACGGGGTTACCGGTGCGAGCACTGGCACCGCAGGTTTGCAGGTGCGGTTTCATTCCGAAGCCTGCCACCTCACACAGACAACCAAAGGGCACACAGATGGAGACTGCAGCCTCAGTTTCCGCAGCTGTAAAATGCGCTGAACCACAGGGCCTTCCTCCCTATATCGCTCGGCTCAGGTTCCATAACAAAGTGCCACAGACAGGTGGTTTAAAACCTCACAGACCTGGCCGGGCGCGGTGGCTCACGTCTGTAATCCCAGCACTTTGGGAGACCGAGGTGAGCGGATCACCTGAGGTCAGGAGTTTGAGACTAGCCTGACCCACATGGAGAAACGGCGTCTTTACTAAAAATACAAAATTAGCCAGGCGTGGTGGCGGGCACCTGTAATGCCAGCTACTCAGGAGGCTGAGGCAAGAGAATCGCTTGAAACCGGGAGGCAGGGGCTGCAGTGAGCAGAGATCGCACCATTACACTCCAGCCTGGGCAACAAGAGCGAGACTCCATCTCAATCACTCAATCAATCAATCAATCACAGTCTCAGAGGCTAGAAGTCCCAGATCAAGGTGTGGGCAGGGCTGGTTCCCTCTGAGGGCCCTCAGGGAGAATCTGCTCCGGCCTCTCTCCCTTCTCCCTTCCTCTTCCCTTTGGAGCTATCTCTGTCTCTCTCTCTCTTTTTTTTTTCCTTTTTAAATTTTATACGCCATATATATACTTTTTTTCAGACATGGTCTCACTATGTTGCCCAGGCTGGTCTCAAACTTTTGGCCTCAAGCAATCCTCCTGCTTTGCCCTCCCAAAGTGCTGTGATTTCACCACGGCCTATTTTTTTTTTTTTTTTTTTTGGAGGTGGAGTTTCATTCTTGTCGCCCAGACTGGAGTGCAATGGCGCGATCTCAGCTCACTGCAACTTTCACCTCCCAGGTTCAAACAATTCTCCTGCCTCAGCCTCCCGAGTAGCTGGGACTACAGGCATCCGCCACCACGCCCGGCTAATTTTTTGTATCTTAGTAGAGACGGGGTTTCACCACGTTGGCCAGGCTAGTCTCAAACTCCCGACCTTGTGATCCACCTGCCTCGGCCTCCCAAAGTGCTGGGATTGCAGGCGTGAGCCAGCGCACTCGGTCCACTCTTTTTTTTTTTTTTTTTTTTTGGATGGAGTCTCGCTCAGTTGCCCAGGCTGGAGTGCAGTGGCCGGATCTCAGTTCACTGCAAG